GGCTGTAATAAGATAACTATTTTCCCTGCAAGCAAATTTGCAACAAAAGAGATTACTATGTTTATATAGAGACTGTTTTTTAAATATATTTTTACACCTATTCATGCATGGAGGTATATATAAAACAACCTCTTTTTTTTTTCTGTATGTCAATATGTTTAATATGTAAAACCATCTGTAGTATACCAACTTTAGTTGTCATCTGCCTTTCTTTAAGACAAACAAGAATCCTCCCAGGAAATCAATTTTTGAAATAATTGAGAGCTAAAGAAAATTACCATCTTGTGATATTTTCATATTCCTGTGCTGTGGGGGCACTTTTACATGTTTAGGCCTAGTCTTTACCAACAAGTTGATTCTATGTAGAGTAAGAGTGTTGCACCATCTCCTGTTAGACTGTTCCTGCTTTTGTCTGTCATAAAAAAAAAAGCAGTGGCATGAAAAATCCCTGGGTTTGGTTTGCCTTTGAGAGCAGAAAATTGTTCCCTAGAAATCGCATCAGAAAATATATTTAAATGAGGGGAGAGTTATGAAATAAACAAACACTGTTTGTTACTTTTGTTATTTGTGTTGCAAATACACAACAGAGAAGGGAAACTCCTCTGTACAACTGTTATGTTGACTTAGCTTAGAAACCCATGGTGGAAGTATCTTTATGAGGGTCTGTAATCATATTGCATTGATTTATGTAAGAACATACCCTGAATGCAGTTAGGAGGATGGTGTTTCTATGTCCTGGGGAACTGAATCAAGATATGTCACCAGCTGTGCAGGGTGTTAACATTCCTTGAAGGGCTGAGACCTATATTGTTGTCTTTCCTTCTCATGTATCCTTCCTGCCAAGAGATACTACAAACCAGATTTCTTGTCATTTTGACTTTGCATTTGTTTACTGAAGCTGTGGACATCCTTCTTCAGATCTCCCTGTATGGGTGTACACTTTGGCTGCACATTACCACTTCTTTTGGACATCACCTATCCTTGGGTCTGCTGCCTACCTACTTACCAGAGTAATTTTAAGGCATTCACATTGGAATTTGTCAGTAAGATCTCACCCAAGCAGGTAGCTAGTAGTTGGGAGATAGTCAGGTTTGGCAGGAAGATAATGATAAGACTGAGGAAACGTATCTTCATCAAGGCTCAGCAGGATTTGTTAGAGCTCACAGGTTACTCACCGTGCAATTATGATTCTGTGAAGCAGATGGGAAAAAAGAGATGCCCAACATCCCTTGTACTGCAGAGCCAACACAACTAAGGAGGGAAAAATGAGTGCTTACTAAAGTGGACAGACATTTTTAATACATAGAGAGCTGTCAAGGAAGGATACCATCATACTCTTCAGAGCAGAACTGTGCACTCTAAAATGCCCAAGGTCACTTTATTTTCAGGCCTGCAGAAATGGGAGTAGTCACTTCTACCTTAAGCCTGAGCTGCTAAGTAAAATCTTCATGTGGATATAAACTACAAGACATGCCACTCACCTTCAAAAGCTGAAGAAGATCATCTAGTAGTATTTTGCAAGCAGTGGCAGTGGGTCTGCAGGATCTACTCCACTAGCTGTGTCAGATAGGAAGGCAGCCCCTGGGATTCAGGCTACCTCCCAGCTCATGACTGTCCCACTGCAATTTTATCTCTTGCGTGGCTTGGCATGGAAGCTACACAGAACCTGCTCACCAGCCATAGGTGTCCCTTAGAGTCAGGCACTGGCCAGCCACAGACCATTTGAGAAAACAGAGTTCAAAGCTAGCAATTTTTTTGGAGTTTTTGAATTTCTAGGGTGATAGCATATTCTTTCTAATGTCTTCAGGACATCAGGATTTTTTTCAATATTTATTTCTCCTTCTTTAATGCTTCTTACTTAATTCCACTATTTAATTCTTACTGCACCTTCCCATACACATCTCTAATATTCTTTTATCTGGGGAACTGAGGAAAACCTCTCTCATTTGCTTTTTTCCTATTAGTGGTGAAAGATTCCATGAAGTGTCTTCTCCCCATGACTGCTGCTGCCAGTCGCAAGCAAGGAATAGTGCTGTTTCCTTATGAACATACAAACAGCTAAGAATCAGTGACTGCCTGGGTTACAGGATGGACTTGTGCTTACTGTTCAGTATTTTCTTTTTTCCATCTTTGTTGTCTCACTTATATCTGCTGATAAATCCCATTCTGAAACCCTACACCTTGTCCTGGGTTCAGATGCAAGGGAAGATTAAGTTTTTCAAGTTCACGAGAAGTTGTACTAAATCATTGAACAAGGAAAAATTGTCAGGTTTTGAGGGCTGAACTTGTCAGAATTATTTTTAAAATATCATTTTGCAGGCAGAATTTGAATATGTAATAATTCAGCAAGATCTGAAAAGCAGCCTTTATATTTCTGTGTATTGTCTTCTCCTGATGAGAAAGTGGTTCTTTATTGCACCTTCTTTCCTGCAGAATTTAATTGCAATGTGTTACTTTACAGAGGTAAATAAAATTCTGGGTAACAGAATTGCTCAGCAAATGGGTAGAGCCTTTTTCCACAAAAGCTTCCTGTGATTAATGAAAATACCCTGACACTGACCTCTGCACTGGCTTACAGCCACCTACCAGAAGAGTAAGTGGCATGCGGTGTAGAAGCTACAAGCACACATGATGAAAAAAGAACACAACAGACAGCCACTTAAGTCTTTAATTTGACAGAACAAGCCGCAGTGATGCTTGATGCTTAGGTGCTTTCTTTAGACTTAGGGTAGGTGAGGACACTCTAAGAATGTTGTTTTGATTCAGAGGGTTAATGAGTGTCAGTGTGTAAATACTGGTGCAGTCTTTCTGCTGAGGCACTGGATGTTTATAGATGTGAATTTTTAAGGAGCTATAAATGGAAGGTTTATTTATTTTGTCTGAAGTGCATGGGAAAGGCTTGATCATAATGTTAGAAATTCAAAGCTAACACTTCAAAAAGATCCTTGCATTTCAAAGTTCAGCTTAAAATGCCATGGCATATCTTCTGGAAGGGAGGCAGCAGAGCAGGCAAGCTGCAGCAGCCCAGCAAAGGCACGGTGCTCGTGGCTGTGTGCTCTCTGAAATGTGTGCTCTGCTAAGGAAGCAGCTCAACACACACACAATTTCATTGCCTTGAAGTCAAGAGGTGCAGCAGTAGATAATATCAGCCTGTTGGCACAGAGACAGCAAACAACAGTTCGTACCTTTCTCCTACAAAGCCATCTGCCCCAGCTGAATATGATTGACTGAGAAGTCACGTACTCAGCCTCATCTATCTCCCCAGTTGGTGGAGAAAAAAAAAATGCAATTCAGGTTTCAGCATTTTTGTAATCCCTCTGAGCCTCCCATTAAATATGCTCTACTGTGTGGGAAAGGATTAAAGATTCTTTGGGCTCCAAAACACAGTATACAAAAATTAAGTACTACAGCGTGGTTTGTGGTAAGGCAGCAACTAAAGTGTCTGTAACCCAGAGCAGCGAGTTCTCTTTGATAAGTAACACTTGTTGACAGCTTAACCTTTCTGTTGGTAACACATGCCACAGTCATGTATGGCCTTTGTTTTAAATATTCTGTATGCAACATACTTCATGAGCAAGTTCATAAATAATCAGAGTTGCTCATATGCTGTTACTAACTTAGTTCGGAGTGCCAAAAGAAGGGAATATTTGCTGGCAAGGAGAACTTCTGTTGCTTTAAGAACAGCTCATAAATCCTGCCTTGTAATAAATATTTCAAGATTAAAATCAATGCGTTACAAGTTTCAGACAAGGCTATTTATCAAGATGAAATAGTTCATTTCCTAAAAGGCAATATTATTTACATTTTATGTGAGTGTGGGTGTAGATGAGAATTTATTTTTTTTTTTTAGAACTGCCAGGGTTTTTCTCCTAAGAAATGGTAAATGAAAAATGCCTAATTTTTTTTCTTTTTTTCCCTAGTGTTTTACTACTTTGAGAGCCTGGCTTGCTGTCAGGCTTAGTTTGTGCAGTATTCAATTCTACTACATGTATTGTGCTTAGTGCAATCAAGCATCTAGCTGGTTTTGTCCTAATTTCATAATTAAATATATGATCTTTTTTTTTTTTTTTTGGTGAAAAGGACACAGCTGCTGTGTACTCAGGCCTTGGGGAGAAAGTAGGGGTGCGAAAGGGCGTAACAGATATTAAAAAATTAGGCTCTACAATTCATACTTCTAAAATAAAAGTTGTCTTGTCCTGCTTACATTATCCTACTTATATTTAACTTCTCCCGTCCACATCTTGACTCTTAAGCAAAGACCCGTGTCTTCTGCTAACTGCACCCCTGACTAAAATTTACCAATGTTATGATGCAGACTAGAAAGTCCTAAAGAACAAGAGGAATCAAAGTATCAAAGCTGCATTTTTTGTCATTTTTCATTTAGTAGCTGTGCTAGAAAGCACCAATAGATGAAGTGTGAATACCATCTCATAAACAAGAGGTCCGTTCCAGCATATGTAAAATGTTACTGCTGAAGTAACTGTATAACTGTTTTCACCATCTGTAAAGCAAATTAAATGAGGGTTCCAAAGGAAGTGGAAAACACCACCATACCCTGCAATTTATATCTAGGCTTTCCACCAAAAAAGCATAATAAGAAATACCTACTGACTATATCCATCTTCTTATTTTTTCATTATATCCATCATTTCATTTTTCTAAACCTACAGCCTCTTTGCTTTTCTTTTCTCTGTAGTAACTTCTAATGTTAATTTCTAGTCTGAGCTTTGCACAGTATTCCTCAATGTCATCCTTTCAAGCTGTTATACATGCAGGTGTTTTATGTATCCACTATTTTTCTTAAGGTCCAGGCTGATAACAGTATTATTTACCAAAAAATGCCTATAGAAAGAGAAATGTCATTATGAAAAAACGTAATTTATGGGCCACTCATTTCTTGATTATTATTCTTTATTTATTTTTAATGTCTTTTGTGAAGTTTAAATGATAACCTGTTTCCTATCCAGTTTCAGCTTTCTGATATTTTGGTTTGATTTCAGGTTACCATTGGTCAGCTGTATTCCACGCAGAAGTTGGTTATTGAGAGTCCAGGAAACACATAGTTATGAGAAAACTCTGATCCTGAAGCAACACTGGACCATCTTCAGCATCCTACAGTGCCACATACAGATGCATAAACTCACTGCACATGTCTGAGCGTTTCTGTTCAGCAGATGAAAAGCGTGGGAGATTCAGTTTTTTGGCAACCAAAGTACTATTTTCTAATGGTTCACATGTTCTAAAATGTATTGCTGTGATTTATAATATCATGTCAGGTAGTCTTGAAATCTGTTTGCTTCAATGTCCCATGTGATGAAATAGTTCCTGCCCTACTCTATAATACAATAAAATTTCATTAAACTACCTGTAAACAAATACATTATTCTGCTGCTGACCTCTTCTCTCACTAAGCATAAAGGATGTGTTAGATTTGAAACCCCTCACCCAGTTACTAAGGCTAAGTTATTTTTGGTTCTGTTTAATTTTAAAATATACAACATCTGAATTAAATTACTAAATACCTAGTTATTTTTTAATATTAAGCCCAGAGATGAACCAAGTTTTTTGTCTCCTGGACCTTGATAGTTAAAAATATCACAAGCTGCACTGTGTCATTTCTTTAAAGAGCATCCCTTGACATTTCAGGAGGTGACATAAAAATTTCACCAATTCTTTCACTAGTTTCCAAGAGTTAATATCCAGTCTCATCCTCCTTTTAACAATTAACAGATCAGAGTAGCAGACTGGAAGACTTGCATCGCTCAGGCTTGGGAGCTTTAAAATATATTTTCACCACCAACTCCCTTTCCAAATTTATTGAAGTGCAGGTATTAGCAGAAAGCACCACATCAGTTTATGCAAGGTTTCCCTTTTTCACAAAGTTCATTAATTTTGCAGGAAAAAAAGAACCTAATGGTGACAATAATGCAAGTGCAGTAAATCATAAATTGGCAGCAAGCTTTGCCTAACAAAGTGAAACACTCAGTATAGCCCTTCATTGCTTACAATTAAATTTGTAGAATGACCAACACTTTTAAATCAATGTTTAAAAACAAACAAAAAAAAAGTTTGATTGTGTTCTATTTAAGTCATTGCTGTGCTTGGATTATTTTCTGATACAGAAAAATAAAGCAGTGAAAAGCTTTTTTAATGGCATACAGAAAAAGCTTCCTTTTTTTTTTTTTCATGGGATTGTTGTGGGGTTTTTTAAGAAGAGAAACAGAAATTCAAAGCTACTTCCATGACACTGTGGCTTTAACCCCCATGTATTTTTTTTTTTTTGCTTCCCAAAATTCATCTTTGTTAAGAAGGTCTATTGTTTTGTGTTGTCTGTGCTGTGTAATAACATTATTAAAGCAGAGGATAGACAAAGTGTCTAATTTAGAACAAACTCCCATTCCTCGCTACCATTTAAAGTGTATTTTATAATTTTGTACAGTTAGATTGAAATGTGTAGCAATGCATTAACAATATAGTGTACAGAATAAGCTTCTGTGACTACCTGAGACTACAAATGTAGCCTCCATCCTCATTGTAAAATAAAAGGCAAATAAAGTAATAGTTTTCCTTACATTAGGTGTGCAAGCATTGCAATGGAAATTGCTTTTAGTGGCCATTTTATTAAAATGGAATGTAATTATTCTAATAGGTAAAATTCATTAGATCCTGTGTTTTAACTCTCCACATTCACAACTGCATAATTAAGTGCACTGAAGTTAATAGTGATAGTGTAGGGGAAGAAAAGTTTTATTACTATTTAAGCTTCCAATGATCGCAAAGAAATGTAATAACATCCTACACTTTCAGAAGACACAAGCTTGGAAGGGCTCCAGTTTTATACTCTAAGGAACTTGGTCCCTTAAACAATAGATGCAAAATCCTTGTTTAAAACAGCTCAATTACTGGAACAAGCACTGCATACCAATTTAAGACCTCCAAAGTATTCTAGGAAGCAAAATAAACATCCTTTTAAATAGTGTAGCCTTAATTTATAAAGAGAGACAATTCCATCAGTTACATTTTTACTATTTAAATCTGTTTTCACCATGTTTACAAAAAAAAAAAAAAAAAAAAAAAAGTGTTTTTAAATAGAGGCACTTTAAATAGATAATTTCTTCCAAAATACCTTTCCAGGGAAGCTCTGTATCATTCAGCTTCCACCAAGTATACATGCAGTAGATGGTACATGCTGTCATACAGGCATGCAGTCATGGACATGTAAAATTTCTTACCCATTCCCTTAAAAATATGAAGATACCTCTCCATTAATGCCTGAAACTTCTTTTGCTAAGTTTTGGTAGTAGATAAAACACTCCTGCACTCCTAATTCGTGCCACCTGCTCCTACTTTCTGCCTCAAGGTTACCACTCAGTCATCCGCTCTCCCTTAAGCATTTACACCTGCAAAGAAACACTGGTAACCTTCAGGATGCATTCTACAGAGATGACCCATCAAGAAAAATATCAATAAAATTCAAGCTCTGTAATCTCCTTCTCTCTCCAATCTATAGTGCAGAGGTTAAGACAGCTCACTTTATCAGTCAGGGAAAAATTAGTTCTTATCGAAAATTAACCATCAGTTTACCATGCAGTATTTATACGTTGCTCATTAGAAGTAATTTAAGAAAACTCCTGCTGCTAAGGACCCAAAGCCTGTGTAGTGCTATCTAACTGGTTAACAAAAATGCAAAGCTAGCAAAGCTATCAGGATTTACTACTCAAACCTCAACAATTACTGTATTTTAGATGTCCATTCCCTCTTAGCTTTGGACAGATCTGTATGTTTCCTTTCCTCACCAACACACATGTAAATGCAGCCTCCATTAGCTATGTGCATATCAGTTGTACATGACTGGAAGATACCTAAAAATCCTTGCCTAATGTGCACTTTAAGTAATCTTTGTCATAAGGTACACAGCTGTCTATAAAAACATAGCTCACCAAGTGCTCTATCATTGAAATACTACAAGCTACGTAAGGAAAATACTTAGAAATCACATCTGGATTGGGAAGTCCAAGGCAGAAATAGTATTTGCAGGCTGGGGTGATTTTAGTATTATATTTGTATGCACTTGCCCAGCGTTCACTCTTGGCTGGGCAATATGCTCATTGTCACTGATGGAGGCAGGGAACTAGAGAGCTGGCTCTGTGGTCCAGCCTCGGAGCTGCTGCGCTCTTGGGGCTGCACCTTCTGTGCCTCACCAGTTCCGTTTACGTTGCAATACTCATTAAATCTCTCTCTTGGCACGCTGTCAGGAGCTTTGTTGGATTTTGTCAAAGCAGGGTAAACAACAGGAATAGTTAAAACACAAAGGAATGATCCCATGACCTATGTAGAACATCCACTATTATAAAAAGTATATCCTTTTTCCTTAAAATTGAAGGGAGTTCAAGAAATATCTTTACTAAAGCTGCAATGTCTTAGCAAAGCAAGCCTCCTTTTGTATTATATTACAAATGTTTGTCTGTTCCTGATCTCAACATTTTGGCAAACTATTAACCTCAGCAGTATGTACCAAAAATTGAATGTTTACTTATACAGATTTTTGTCATGATTTCACAGTACAAACTTGGAAACAGTGCTCTGAAAGGGGGGAAAAAAAAAAAAAATCTGTTGAATATTAGTAACTGTGTAAAGGACAGGCATTTCTGTTGTGTGTTACAGCTTCTCAGGAGATTTTACTGCAATTGAAAGCTCAGTTTCAAAATACCCAGATGTATCAGAGGTACAACTGTCCTGGAGGAAAGCAACCAGAGAGCAGCATGTGAGCACTTCACATACAATGTTGAAATAGACCAAGAAGGATTTTAACTTCTTACTCACTTTTTTAGAAAGGCATTTCTATATAAAACTTCAATGAGTTTTGAGGCATTAGAAGCATTATTTTCACCCTCTAACATCAACAGGTAAAAGAATAATTTTATAGAGAAGCACCAGCCCCTCAATTTACTGCCTGTAATGCAACATAAATGTGTCTCTCCCGTTACCCAGCAAGGACTATACATACACATGAACAGAGCCATGAAAGGGCTGTGCACTGACTGTTTTCCTGAGTTTTCCATAATGATCTACAGTGAAATCCTGGCATTATTCAAGTCTGGACTATACTGTTCGCTTTGTTCCACAATTCTTAACACGGGCATAATTATTTCATACTCTTAGGAATGCTTTGCTGAATAACCTTTATTAAAAAAAAAAAAAAAAAAAGGGAGTGTTCTCCTTTACTGACAGTTTAGATTCTTACTTTTTCTTTTTTTTCAGTATTTTAGAATACAAGAATAGTGCATGAGCCCTTAAAATGGAAGCAGGAAAAAAGAGAAGCCAGTAATTCTTCCAAAGCTGTGTATTTTCTACAACACTTAAGAGGAAAAAATTCAGAACTCTCAAACCTGTTGCACAAGCATATGCACCCTCAAAGGGTTCTGCAGCTGACACAGGAAACTAAGTATCCTCAATGCATTTGAGAGAGATGGTTCTTTCAAAACTACTCACCTGTTTTACTGTTCAGCCCAATAGCTACTGAAGCTCTGCAAAAGGGGGAAGTGATGGTAAGTAGTGCATTCAAATGACTGCTCTTCTGTGTTCAGAGTAAGAGAACTATGGAGACCTGTGAAGAATGTACAGGCCTTCTATTGAAAGAGTGCACCACATAAATATTTATACCAGTCTTTGGCAATATGCTAATCCAAGGCAAGTAATTTTCCCTCTCTTAAAAAGAATCATGAAAAACAATTAAGGTGATTTAATTACTGCCACGCATAGACAGCAGATTTTAACTCCTGACAGAAGAACATCCATCACAGTGCCATGTTATCCTAACCTCGTAACACAAGACTCTGAACAGAATAGACAATTAAACCTAGATCATTTCCCCTACCTTCCTGGAGGACTTTGGGCTGGATCCAAATCCCAGGGAAGCCATTGGGAGTAGAAGCCAGGCTTTTCAAGTCTGGACTGAAAGCTCTGGCTTTAAATAAAACAGAAGTAGTTTGCATGCAAATTTGCAGTTCTTCATGACACCAAAGTAAACTTAGCTTCACAGTACTTTTCTGGATCATTTAAA